ATAGTTTCTTGTCTGGTAAAAGAGCTACATGTGCAATGTAAGCTCTGAAAGTGCACATGGAGAAGTACTGCAAATACCAGGAGTTGCAACTTGTTTGTTTGAAATTAGAAGGAAAACTTGTGACAGGTGAGGGTGAGATTACGTTAAGGATCAGCTCTTGAGTGCTGCCTTATTTGTAAAGCTGATGGACTGGTATGTAGATGACATTGTTAAATGAGTGGTGGCAGGTTAGCCTGATGCTGACAGGGATGGTACGTATCTACATGCCATACCCACTGTAAGTGTATTTTATGCACAAGTGGCTCCACAAGTACAAAGTCACCAATGACAATTACTTATCTCATCTGTTTATTTTTTTCCTTTTTTTTTTAAATATTTTCGTTAATCTTATATTGCTGTTAGTAATTTCAATATCACTATAATTGTAATATCTATAATAATAATATCATCATCAATATTCATAGGATTAGGGGGAAAAAAAAAAATCCCGCAAACTCGATTAAGGGTGAAATCAGGTGAGATCACAAGGCCTACTAATTGACTCCTTTGTAGCTAAGCACTTGTCGCACCATCTCTGTGCAGATATAGTTCACAAAACAGTACAGTGAACACTACATTCTCCTGGCAACGGTTGTTTAACAAGACCCTGGAAAGAGGGAATTACACATTGGAGAGTGGTTGAATGAAAGTCAGTATCTATTTGTTTATTGAAAATTTTCTGCCACGTCAACATCATCTAAGGTATAGCAACAAGGCGAGGTAAAGAAAGATTATACAGCTTTATGACAAAGTATTGTGGCAAAAAGGTTAAGAATAAGTTAACAGTTAGTACAAAATATGTTACATGTCAAAGGTTGTGAAGTACTGTAGGTTTGTGTGGTAGTGAAAAGGGTAAGAGGAAATAGCAGAGTACAAAGGCTGTTCAGGACTGACACACAGCCAGCCTTTCATCCTTTCAACATGGTTCCTACACTTTAGGATGTGTACAGAAGAGGGGGATGAAGAAGAGAGGGAAAAAGAAAGGTGGAGAAAAAAGACCATGCCAAATTAGTTGAGGGGAGGGCTGAAGTCCAAGGTAAGGGTGATCCCCCACATTGGCATTAAAACTATATATGGTTCTCTCATAGTTCATTCTGTCCTCTCAGTAACAATATAGGGCTCTTACAAAATGAAAGATCTAATACTAGCAGCCATTTGGTTGCAAATTTTGTATAAAGGCAATTTTCAGTGAATACATAAGATACAGGCATATGTTTGATTTAATACTCAGGTAAAAAATATTTCTGAAGTGGTCATACAAATGTTTATACTTTTAGCTCCATCTCTCTTAAAAGTACCAACCTCACAAAAAAATAATCCAAAATGCAGATTTTATGATTTTAAGAAGTATGACTTTCTATCTAGTTTGACACTAGAAAAATCTTTTTCATATTCAGTGTGGTGTTGCCCCCTTTGAAATTACCCCTAAAATTATTATTCTTAATTATCTTTAAAATATACTTCATGTATGACTGTGAATGCATATTTTGACAAATATTTGGGTGTAAATGTAATAGTGTATATAATAAAACCATTTTGTAATTCTTGATACAAAAAATCTTAAGAGAAAGCAAGGCCAACAAAAGTATAAATCCATGTATAGTCTCAGAAAAATTTGATTCAGCTTGTATAAAGAATGGTAGATTTAAATGTTATATTTCAAGTCTGAACTCGTGTCTTGCAGATTCACTCAGTGTTATAAGGGTTTTTGGCCTCACCAATATTTCACCTTAAATGTTGTGTTTTTAGGTTTCAAAAAAGGCTTTATTTTGGCTTGTAACTCAAAAAAGTTATGGAAACCTATATTTCTTTTAACAAGTTTAAGGTCTCGGGTAGAAGAAAAGAAGGATGCACCTTTGAAAATCATCCGTAAAAAAAAATGCCTGTGGGTGAGGTTGGTACTCATTGGGTGTCCATTGTAGTTTTGCCTACAAGCATCAAAGAGTCAGTTACTAGGCCTGCCTGACCTTCCCTGGTTTTACCTTGTTACTTGAAATTATGTGAAAAATCCATCTCTTATTATTATCATAATATCATTATTGTAATGATAATATTTTTCTTCACAACAATTCAGGGAAGGACAAATGGTGAGGCTATATAGTAATTTACTCCTTGATGGCTATTTGTTGTCCTATCACAGGGAAGAGAAAAACTGGGAACTCAACCTCAACAAGTCTGTTTTTAGTAATAGATGATAAAGGTAAAGGCAGCAAATTTTATTAATTAGCAATGAAAATATAAACATTTACAAGTGCAGGTATGAAATGTCACCTGATTAGAATAAAACAGTTCAGGCAAATTGGAGTCTTCTAGAGTCTAGGATGAGTTGTTAGTTTTCTTTCTTTCTTGAGATTAGATTCACAATAAGTGCTTGTGAAGCTATATGTGTAAATAAAATTTCAAAATAAAAACAGTGTGGACAGTGGATGTACACATGCACATCCAGCATCAATGGATTAAACCATTGGATCTGGATGCCTCATTGTCATCACATGGCCTAACTATGGGCAATAGGCTTACTTGAATGTCCACTCTGATGTGTGAATGGCTTGTAGGCCAGGTGCACACGAACACGTGTGATGACAAGACTCCATGCCTCCCCTTTGCAATGATGTTATTTTCTCTTTTTCTGCATAATTGTTTTTAGCTTTCCTGCCATTTTTTAATGTCTATAATTGTCATTTGACTTGCTTTATCCAGATGGTAATTAGACCATATCATCTCTAGGTAATGATTAATGATGAAACAATAAACCCAATGCCGCCGGGAAAATGTTACGTTCACTTTAGTATTCTTTTATTAAATGTTTCTGCACATAGATAGCTCTGCCAGTGTATAGCCACAAAGGAGTCAATAGAAGACCTTGTGACCTCACCTTTCCTTGAAATAGCAGGAAAAGGCATTTTGTACTATTGCTATCAATATTGATGATGTTATTTTTGTTATAAACATTATAAGTACAATATTGTTATTGACATTACTAACAGCAGTATTAAATACTAGAAAAAAATTATAAAAAATCTAGAAAAAGGATAAACATGTGAGACAGGTACATCATGTAACTGGCTCATTGGTGACCTGTTACTTATGGAGCCATCTATATGTAAAACAATTACTAAACACACAGTAAGCATGGCATGTATACACATGCCATCCCCTGGCACATGGTTAAATATGCTAGACATCAAAGGGCACATGGCACTATGATAAAATATTATGGTTAAAAGAGTAAAGAAGAGTTTAAGATTAGGATAGAATGTGTTAGAGTCAAAGATTAGAGAGCATTATAGGATAGTATGGAAATGAAAAGGATAAAGACTAGAGTAAATGAAGTAAAGCAAAAAGGGTGAAAAACAGGCTAGGGTAATTGAATGAATTAGAGTGTATCTGTGACTTTGGAAGGAATAGACATTGTTCGAGGAAAACAGAGATTGCTGTAAGAGAAGTAGGAGGAGAAATGGGGACTAGGGAATGTGGGGAAATATCAGGAAGAATGTCAGAAGGGGAGGGGTCTGGAGAAGGACACTGTTGTGACTGAAGGCTTTAGGTGGGAGCGGTAGAGAGGATGGGTTGTGTTGAGGAGGAGGATGGATATTGGCAAATACTTTAAATGTAGAGGGAATAGATACAGAGATTGGAGGGTGGATGAGGGAGCAGAGTGTTTCCTTACGTAATGGTTAGGAAGTTTTAGATGTCTTCAAGAGTTTCTAGAAGGGAGCTGGATGAAGAGGACTGAGAAACAAAGGTTCTCATGTGAGGAGAAGAGGGAATAGATAGATACCAGAGGAATAGGAGAGTTTAGGAGAGGATGTTAGTAGGAGTGGAACATTATGTTGCTTGGTGTGACAGGTAAAGTGAGGAGGTGGGTAGGTATTGGAGAAGTGGTAGAGATTGGAGTAGGGGAGTAGAGGTAAAATGGTAATTTGAAGTCATGATGAGGTTTGGCACATAGAGGGCAGCAAGTTGTGGAATGATAGTGTTTGGCTGGGTAGCCAAAAATGCCAACATTTCTGACAGATGAGGAAGGGGTCGATATGAGTGGACATAGCAGGACACTCCACCAATATAAATTTCATGGTGAAGTCATGTTTATGGAAGCTAATCTTGGCAATATTGGCATAGGACTTACGTTGGCCTCTGGGAGGAATAGTGTAGCACTATACTGCTGCTGCATCATAATCAACAAGGCAGGCAAGTAGGTAATTTTCAAAGTCTGACCAGTTCATGTCGTAGATAGGACAATCAATCGGGGAGACGTAAACAGTTCCAGTACAAGTATTAAACAAGGGAATACCATGCCCAAGGCTCCCGAAGGCCACCTTAGGAATTGGATTGAAGAATGGGATGATGTGGAAGAGGAAAGGGGTAGAAGAAAAGACCATGCAAAATTAGTTGGGATAAGGGATGAGGCCCAAGGGAGGGGTGATCCCTTTCATTGGGCCTCAGTCTCCATCTCCTAAGCTCCCCACAATGCATCAATGAGCAAGGGATGGGGGGGGGGTGTTCTAGGTAGTCCATAATAATAACTGACATTTTGTTGTTTTGTGACTTTTTTAATATTTAATTTTCTGTAATGCAGCCTGTGCTGCCAGTTATGATGGCCAGGAATAGGATCCTAACCACAGAACTAATGTCCCCCCTAGAGCCAGGATTTCCAGCCATGGCTCATGGACAGTATCCATGGCAAATCATTCCCTTCACCCCAGTCTTCAGCTGGAATGTTAACCAGTGGCAAGTTAGCATCTCTCCAGCCAACAGCCAAATTTTCCCATAACGGAATGTTCTCACAAGCCAAAATGATGATCACATCTTTCAGATTAAATTGAATCTTTGCAATGAGAAAAGCATTTCCTGAACAGGAAAAGAGAAACAGCCTTCACTGACAGTATATTTATTGTCAATAGCTGTGAATAACACCATGAAGCATTACAAACAGAATAACATTACACAAAATCGCACATATAAGGAAGAGCCAAGAAAGATTTACATTAAATTAACATATGAACTTGTAATATATTTTCAATAACCAAGCAATATAATTGAGCAACAATGAGAGGCAAATTTTAAAACGCACAAAAAAAAAACATGAAAGATTTCTTGATAAATCAAAGAAATTTTCTCTTTAGCCTACATTAATTTAAACAATCTTTTAAATTTACAAGGAACAAATACCAAACATAATCTGCACTATAAAGCATCTGGTTTTTTAGATCTAAAGCTGCTCAATCTTTTTGTTTAGACCAATTAACATACAGGTTAAAGGCTTTTGAAAGACCAAGAAATACAGTACCAGTAGGTCTTCATTCTTTCACCTACCTAGTAAGGCAACAAATTATCATTATTAAAGTATGTAAGAAATCATCCTCATATTTATACATTGCATTTGAAAAAATCTTTCAATTACAGTCTTTATCATGATTTCTTATTCTAGTTGTGAATGTGCTCAACTGGGAGGCCACTTGCGTGTTTCTTCTTCTTAGCATTTACATCTGCTGTCAGTAAAGTTGTTTAAAAAGAATTGTGCTCTCTTTTTTATTTTAAAACATGATTTACATAAAATTAAGATGATTCTTTACCTGGCAAGTCAATTTTAGTTTTCCTTGTATCAATAACACAATTTTCTTATAATTTCTTAATCTAGCAAGTCAATTTTAGTTTGTATCAATTTCTGCATCCTTATAACATAGCAAACTTAAAGAAAGATCAAGTGTACAATAGAAAACATTTAGTGCCATATCCTACATGTAGAAATTTATAGGGGAAGATATTCATTTCTGTTCTTGATGATTTACATTGCTTCAGGGTTACCAGAAGCTGCCAGAGGTCTTGCCACCAGGTGGGTTGTTCACTTTCACTGATGGACGCTTGGGTGACTTGTCATTAAGTTGGGCACCTGTAAAATGTAAACTCAGGTTAGCTCAAAGTAGGTCTGTAAGTGGTATTCTCATTAAATCTAAACATACAGTGATTTCTGCAAAGTTGACTCCAATTTACAAAATATATTTGTTCCTTAATATTTTCACTTTAAAAATTTAATTAAAAACAATGAAATCACAATCTTGTGTCACAGCTGCTTCAGAGACTAAAATGAAAACCAAGTAAGTAAAGTTACCAGAATCATTGCATGCAGTCGACTTGCAAAGGCATGATAAAAGCAGGTGTGGTTAATCAATTTGAAATCAAATATCTGTGAAAGCTTTGAAGCACTGATAGCCAACCGGAAGACAGCAAGCCTTGAATTTCTTCCCATGTAATATGTTAAAAGCCTTCTATCAGCTACTGTGTCCGGCTGGAAATGTTGGTGTAAAACCTGTGAATCCAATAGTGACTTTGCTCTTCTATTGCTACACTTTCTTTGAAAACAGTTTTCCCCAAAGCACAGTGTCCGTAGTGATATGCTACACTATATCAACTAATAATTATACTAACCACAGAGCTTGCATTTTATAAAAGGTTCATAACATGGAACTCCTTCCCATAGGAGCCATTTTTTTTTTCCTTCTTCACCATATTTGATAAATAATAAGTTCTGGTGAATGGAAAGTTATGGATACCCATCTAATATCACTCTTCAGCCCTATGCATTCTTTTCCATTGTCTAGCATCATTTGTATAACTTTAAAATGAAGCACAAAAATAACTTTCACAGACTTTCAAAAGAAAATTTCTGTCATTCCTTCTCAATTTTCCCAAAACAATGCAAAAGTGATTCAATTCTACCAAAGTAAAATATGGGTAACTCATCTATGTTGCATGCTTAGCATCCATTTTATCTTAGCACTGATGCAATTAGCAGAGAAGAAATTAGTTTAAATGCTAACTAAACTGCAGAAGATTGCAGCCTCTAATCAATGTCTGAAAGCTTTAAGATTAAGTATATATATACAAGAGCATTAAATATATTACTTTATCATATTAATAAAGGTATGTACTTTAGCTATCACAAAGTTAGAAATACTAAGTATTGATGTTACTAAAACCCCTTTAAAAAAACGGCAATTGCATAAATTCTGGAACTGTACAGTATTTTAAATATATCAGTTTTGAAAATGGTTTATCAAAAGCAATAGCTCCAGGTCAGGTATTCAAATTAAATTAATCTGTCCTATAAAATAACTAGATAAAATTCAATTTCCAAATTGGAGAGTATAAATCAAATACATATATTTAAAAAAAAAACTTCAGATTAGGCATAGCCAACTAGCACATTTGATACTGACGAATGATGATTTCTGGATAAGCTACTCACAGTTTTTATTTTATTTTTTTTTTATATTTTTTTATTTTTTTTTTAAAGCTAACTTTTAAGTACATTTTGCATTTTATGCAAATGCAGAAGTGCTACTTATAATTTTCTTACATTTCAGTTGGTAAAATAAAAAGGACTGTGGTCTGTGCATGTACCCTTCATCAATGGGTTAGGGGTTCAAAATGACATTTTTTTTTTTTTTTTTCAAATTT